GACATTTCAATACGTCAGGTATGCTATACTTTAAGTTACATAGCTTAGTCTATAATCTAAAGCTCCAGGAAAAAAAATGCATATTCCATATGTTCTTTTCCTGACCATTTATCACTATTATTCTACAGAATGGAAATCAACCAGACATTTCCTATAAAACCTGTTTCACTATTACATACTGTACAGGATATGACTCTACAAATCTCACTTTCTTATTCAAACACGAGCTCTCTATTCTCAGTAGCATTTTACCACTCGATATATGCATGAGGTCCTGAATAAAACTGAATAAATTGCCAGTAAAATATGTATCTGAACCTTACATTTTCAATTTACCTTTCAATCTCCAGCGTATTCAAAACTTCGGAAGACCCATTCAAATACAGCCGGCAGCTGATGCCAGAATTCATCTGGGAATAACTACTGTTGTCACCGATGAAAGGACGGGGTAGAAAGTTTTCTTCTAGAAGATTTTTATTCACTGGAAATGAATGCAAAAACCGCCGAGGTGGAAATAAGACGACTTCCTTCAATGGTGACTAATGTCAATCTAACCTCCCATGCTGGGCTGTGATGAATGAAAAAATGAGGCGATTTAAAAAAAAATAAATTACAAACACAACCTGAAATGAATTAAGCCAAAGACAAGACGTGCACAATCCCCAGCTGCGATAATGGTGGTATTTCCAATCTGAATAACAATGGTAAATACCGTTTAAGGCGGGGACACTGTAAATAAAGCAGGGATTAAAACCACTGGGTGCCGACACAGATCTGTGAGAGTCAGCTCTTCTAAAAGATGGTGGAGGTGAGGCGCCCAGCTGGGAGCCAGAGAAGGCCAATCATTAGACCCATTTAGGCAGGATTACCTGGAGCAGAACGGATCAGCTGCTCAGCTGTACGGAAGAGAGGGCTTCAATGCAGCAGAGATTAGATGAAAAGTGAGCTTTGCTGCTTTGGCAGACCTGAAGCTCCCTTACACCAGTCATCAAGCTCACACACAGGGCTTTGATGCTTGATAGAGACCGGTTATCTCGCACTCCTCAGTGAATGGAACCGGGGTGAATGAATGCTAAGAGACTAGGGAAAGGAGCCGGCCACACCATGCAAGCAGACACAAGAACATGCCTGTAGTTCATCTATAATAATCCCACCATCTGGAATCTGCCTCGCACTGCATGGAGTCCAACCCAGTGCAGCACAAAGACCGAACTGGTTTTTGAGGTCAGGTAGACCTCACTGCACCGGCTTCTCTCCAGTTCACTGAGCAGAAACAGCATCACCCTTGCCGCCTCTCTTCAGGACTAATTATAGGCTGCAGACATTACATGTGCACTGTGGAATCTTCCACGTTTTCAGTACAGCACCCAGCCGATTAACAGCAAGCATTTTTTTCCCATAATGAGAGATGCCGAGAGGCCATATTTAGGTGCAGCTGGTGTAACTCAACATTTGATGATCTAGATAAAAATACTTCTTGCGCTGACACAAAAAATGCCGAAAATCAAACAGAAGAGAGGGCCATATCAAGAGTTACAACAATTCTTTCAGATCATTTTGTAAGAAAGGCCATGGTGGTACTTGTGATTCTTTACAGAAGGCTTTAATTTTTAAAACAACTAGGAAAGATCCCCTTTTAGAAAGTTAAAAGTTTCTAGAAAAGTCTCCTAAAAGTCAGGACTATATTCTAAATTGGTTTTCATGCATTGTCGCAAAAAACAAAAACACCATTAAATATCTGGTATAAATATCTAAGCTTTAATCTACATACTGTGTATATACATACACATTAAGCTATTTTTGGCATTTCAGAAATATTACAAGTTCAATAATAGGGACTAGAATGAGAGGAAGCCAAATGTAGTTTGCTCCATACATAGTAGTAGACATGTAGCGTGCGTCAAGAATATTACTTGATATTTAATATTACAAAAATATTACTCACACAGAAATTATGATAAATATACTTGAGTCAGAATATTATAACAGAGTTTGCACCTAGTAGTGAAAAGTACTCCAAAATGACAAAGTAACACCCTGCCAATGGGTAATCAAATATAAACTTTGCCTGGGCCGTCGGCAGTGCCTTACATATGTGACTGGCGACACTGGTTTGCAGAAGGTGCCGACTTTGGATGACATGTTAAATTGATCACATTACTCACCTGGAGGCCATGTGACCGACGTTAAGTTCCAGCAGTCCCACTACGTAGCAGATGAGGTGAAAGGAGAAAAACCCCTCACCAGCTGAAGAGGAGGAACTGTAAATGGGCTAGACCATGCAAATCAAAAGGGGAATTCAGCCAGGACACTGGCTTTAATAACCCTGTTCTTATGAAGAGTGCTATGGTGTGTCCTCATGTGATGTTACATCAAAGTCCTAAGAGAAATGCCTCTTGTTACACAGTGCCCCCAATCACCATAGCCAGGCACTGGTTTGGCAGTTCTGGCCCAGTGGGAAGAATGTCACCTACTGGTCTACCAAGACAACCAGGTAAGTCTCTTGTTCCAACACTGACGCATGTCAGCTTTGATCAGCTTCAGACATCTTTCCAGGGCAAGGGCTCAAACAACAGACCGTTTAAATTGAAGTAACTGGAGGACCAAAATGGGACCGAGTGTCCAAGACAAGAGGACAAGGAAACCAACAAGATCACTGGGAATTGCAGCTAGTGAAGTTGACAACAGCCTCTTAACTGGACCTAGTGAAAACGTCTCAAGTGCTTTGTTATTGTTCGGGTTAGCATTCAGAAAGTTTTCTGGTAGTTGCTGCCATTTTGCCCATAATTAGCAGTAACCAGGATGGCTTCCCATCCATTACTGCTGCCTGCTTTTCTCCGTACACCTCACTCAGCCAAGTGCTTTGATAAACCTCGGCTCTTGAAGAGCACTGGCTACAGTAGACATGTAATACTGCATAATGGGAACCTGGAAAACTGAAGTCCTTTTGTACCGCACCGATTCTGCATGAGGTTTTCGTATCTACAATTTAGATAAGTAGGTTATCTTGAGTCGAACAAAAAAAAAAAAGTGAATTCCATTAAAGGACTGTAAATGTGGAACAGTGGAATTTTCATGTAGAAAATTAAATCATGGGAAGACAGTGGAGCGTGGCCATTTATCACAGTGCTTTAATTAATGCAACAAAACTGCTGGCACTTATCTCAGAGCAATCGTCTCAGCCATACGTGAAACAGAGGCTGTAAAATGGGAGAGAAGCACCGCACATTGCTGTTTTAATAATATTCAACCAAAACATAACATCACCAACCCAATTCTTTAAATGCGACTTTGCTTCGACCACCTCTGTTACTTTATAGCAATCCTTGTTTATAATATTTCAAACTTTTTGATTTTTTTTTTAAATAAATGATGCATTTTCAGGTAAGGTTTCAGCTTGAAATTTGCAATTTCAAGGATCGTTTACCTTTCTGCCGTAACCATTATATCACCTGCACTTTCTCACATTTTCACTTTCGGAAGAAAGCCTTATTTCACAGAACTCCATGGTTACAGTGGGTTGCTAGGGGATGAAATTGTATTTTAACTACTCCATGTAATAAACACAGGTCAGACTCATATAACCTTTCCTAAGCGACTGAGATGACAATAAAAAAATATAGATTTCTGCAAATAGTATATTGTCATTTGATCTTCTTTTATACTGAACCACACATTTTTGAAAAATAACTTGCATTTGGTTTTTTTTTCTAGCGTTTCATAAAGAATTATTCTCTATAAATCTGTATTACTCTTAATAAAAGTGGCCGAAATGAAAGGAGGTATAACAGTTTACTGTAACAACACCAGTGCAATCAAAAACTATAGAAAGAAACTACTTAACATTTATAGATTGCAATGTAAGCAGTATCCAATATCTTATTTAATACAAATTTGGATCATTTTAGCACTTTCTTGTGGGCAGTTTAATCTAGACTCATAAATAGAACCTGCACTTGAAATGAAAAGGAAAATTCTCCCTGCTTACACAAAGTAATTTGGTTTATAAATTGGTTTATGCCTCTATGCTGTGACTTTCCCCAAGTAGACCACTTAACGACATGAAGGGTATGTTATTTAATTGTGAAACAATAAGAACATAAGAAAGGTTACAAATAAGTGAAAGCCTTTTGGCCCATCTTGTAGTTAGTCGCTTATTGATCCAAGGATCCTCAACCAGGAAGGAAGTCAGGGTATCCACAACCACGTGACTGGGCAGCTTGTTCCATACTCCCACTACCCTTTGCGAAAAGAAATGTCTCCTGTTCTCGGTTTCAAGGGCAATTCCAACACTTTCAGCAAAGGCTGACTGAAGCGTTACAGTCTGAGTGCTCCCTGTGATCAACAGCGGCTGGAGACTTCCTCGACTGCAATACTAGCAGTTTAGGACTACGCCAGAAAAAAGGAGAAAGTAAAAACAAATCCTACATTCAGGTCACTATACAGGTAACACTGAAAAATCGCAATCAGCTAAATAACAAATGCATATACAGTAGTTCCAAACATTCATTTAGAATTTTTTTTTTTTTAAGTGTCATAGCAGACAAAATGTCAGAAAATGCAATGAAAGTTCTTGGCGCCTTCTGCATTTGACCCAGTGGTTGAGGATGAGGCCTCCTTTCTGTCACTTGTCCACATCTGACACTTTCAGCACATCAGAACGGCTCTAGTGCTCCCAGTCTATGTGGAGCCCTACCTGACAAAGCCTTGAATGTGCTGGATTCTGCTAGACCCCACCTTTCCATTACTCGTCAGGCTCCATTAATCTGCCCAGAGCACAGGACAAAATAAAGAAAGGCCGTTTCCAAAGCCAGACAACCCTAATTAGGGAAAGCAAATGAGACTACTGATTTATGCCAGAGCTTTCTCCCCTCTTTTGAGTTTGCTAAAGATTTACAGTTTTGAAATGCTCGTTGGAGGCCACCTCCATCAGGAAGACACGGTCGTAAATAAAAAAAAGAGAAGAGAGATGAAAAAAAGTGCCGTGTGTCAGTCCCTACCTGAGTGTGATTTGATTCATTTTGGTAGCCAGCACATCTGCTCTGCGTAGCAGGTCAGAACTCCCCTTCTCCGACACCACGTGGTTCGTCTCCTGTCAGAATAAATAAATCGGTTATGTTACTGTGAGGCAACGCTTCGAGATGCTGATTATGAATGACCCTCTTAAGAAACATAACCTTCTGCGACGATTCTATTCCAATTAGCGTGTTTACACACATTCAGCTAAACTCGCGGAGGCCCGGCTATCTCTAGCCTAGGCTGTCTTAATGAATCAAGCAGAGGCTGCAGTCAGCCGTGAAGTTAAAAAACATAATCAAAAATGAAATTAAAAGATCCCCAAAAAATAATGAGACCAACACTTGGACAGCCTAATTATTGCTTTTCATTTCTCATATCTTTTATGTCACAAGAGTTGACAATGCATTCTTCTCATTTCTACCAGAACTGTCCCCTCCACTCTCCATCACAAATAAAGGATGAAATTCTAGTTTCATGAAAACAAATTATCCAGTTTTCTAGACTCAACCCCATCACAATCAACAAAAGTTTAGGCTAGATGGTCTTAATGGGTTTCTACACAGCATTATAATACAGGAGGGTTTTGTTTGCTCCTGTGCTGTTGGCTTTATGTTGGATCCACTTCAATTATCTGTCTTGATGATAAATCTTTAATGGAAAAATGTATCCAACATCTATTTATTTACAGTAACTTCAAGATATATAAACACATGTCAAACAAAATTAAAAGCTTTATGGACAACCAAAACGCCGAAACACACTACCAAACAGAAAACCCACTCAGTTTTTTTTTTTCTATTGTTATCTCAATAATTTTCAGTTGGGTTAAATAGTCTTCATAAGATCGCTAAAGCAATTAGATTGCATGTGCTGTGTATATGCAAGTGGACTCCAGTTATAGTCTGTGTGACTTCTGAGTTTTTCATAGATGTTTTTAATAAATGAAGCCCATCGTGACCATAATGGAATGTGTATTGAGAGGAGCAGTACTCCAGGAAATCTGGTCTTTGGGTCTCCCTTCCTCTGTGTCGGCTGAATGCTTGAAGACAACAGGTCAAGGGAACAAAGAGCAAACTTAGCCCAACCTGTGCATGCCTGTGCAAACATTTTCAGCATTACTGTGCTGGTGTCACAGCAGCAAATCTTTACATTTAAAGCATTACATTTAATAGAAGTGTTGCTTTCTTGATGCACAACCAAATCTCCCTTCTGCATGTTCCCTTAAGGAAGGAGGCACCATCTTAACTGTTGGAGAGAAAACCACTGAAGACTGCAATTGTGGGCAAAGGAGGGACAAAATAAATGACTAGCTTTCTCAACTGAGGCACAAAAAGAAATGTTAAGTGTCACTCTGGACAGATACTATTCTGGTAGTCTTCAATCTAAACCACCTACTGCAGATAATAATAGTGATATTCAGGTTGTGGGGGTATTGAACCAACAGTCCAGCCATGTTGTTGAAGCCAAGACCCTGGTTTCTCTCAAGAAACAGCTGGATGAGATACTTGAATTTCAACAAGACTGCCAGCTCTTATTGGTTACCTTTCATACATTCTATGACTTATCTTCACCTCCCATGCTGATGAGATGTAAAATGTAGGGGTGTTACTCGGGTTTCCTGGCCAAGTTTCCGTCTAACCTTTACCAATCATGGTCTCCTAATAATCCCCATCTCTGAGCTGGATTCATCACTCTGCTGACCTCCCCACTGAGAGCTGGTGTGTGGCACTCTGGCTGCTGTTTCGTCATCCAGGTGGGGCTACACATAGGTGCTGGTGGAGGGGATTCCCTTTACCTGTAAAGCGCTTTGAGTGGGGTGTCCAGAAAAGCACTCTATAAGTGTAAGGACATCATTATTTACTATTATTAACCAGAATTTAAAGCATAAAATAAGACTTTAAGGACAGGATTATAAGGTGTTGACTAATTTGCAAGGCCTGATGTAAGTTAGGAAATTATTACAGAACCCAAAGCACAATCTCCTGGTGTTCAGAGCTTATCTAGAAGTAAATAAGAGAAATAATAGTCCGAAGAGTGTTAATGACACTGTATGTGTACAGGGAGTTACCAGTTCACTGATGTAGACAGCACTGCACTGTTCAAGCCCTTAAAGGTGAGCAGCAGTACTGTGAATTTTAAGGTAAATCCACAGGGAGCCTGTGCAAGGAACTGGAAGCTCATGAATATTTTAGTTAAGATCTGAGCAGCTGAGTTCTGAACATGCTGCGACTTGCAAAGAGCACATTCGGAAAGAACAAGCCCCACTGTTTTCCAAATCAAGCCAGGAAAAGACAAAAACATTAGCTTATCTGCACCACATAGAGAAATGAAGGGAAATAAGTCATGCTGCAAAGTGCAGAGTGGGAATCTTCACAACGTTTGAAGAGAAGGTGAGCTTCATATGTAAGGCTTGGATTAAGAAAAAGACACCTTAACTCCAGATCTAAGTACTTGGACTGACTCCAGGACATCAAACTAAGGTCCACACATTTGCGGAGTTAACAAGCAGAGTAAATATCACAAATTACATTGCATCCATTTTTAACATCATCCAAGTGGTAACATGAGACAGATTGTGCTTGCTTGACATTAGGTGTTACGCGTTTTGTAAATCTACGTGTCATCAGCATAAAAATGAAAGATGATGCCATACCTACAAAGTATCAGGCCCAATGGTATCATGCAGAAGGAAAAGAAGAGAGTAACTATGCAGGACAAATGTGACATTTAATTGCATATGGCAATAATAGTACTACTGGGATTAAGACGCTGAAATAAAAAACTACTGGAGAGATGCTTCAGAGAATGGGGGATTGTACTAGGGGTATGCACGTAATGCATTACATTAAATCTTTTTTTTGACAAGAGAAACACAAAGGGTCACCAAAATGCTCTATCCCTAATGTACTTTGTGTGACCTCATGGCCCTATTACAGATGGAGTGCAATCTGTAAGCCCATCTGTCAGTTAAAACCATTCGCATGAAGCCCTGCAGGATCTGATCGTTATACTAGCAACGTTTTTCTGAAAGGGGAATGTTGTCACCTGCAATGAATGACCCTACACACCCTTAACGCAGGAGGAGATGCTGTGAGCATGGAGGAGCACATGTAAGGGCAATTTAGCCTATAGCACTAAAAACAGTCAAGCAAAACAAAGACCTGGAAAAGATGAGCAGCACCCAGCTACAAGACAACAAAATCATTCATGCTGAACTGGTACTTGTGGGGAACTGAGCAGAAGACAAAATATTTATTTATACCTAGATCACCTGAAGTGTGAAACTATACTTTACAAGCAGCCAGAATTGCCTTATGGGAGCTCTATTGCAGATGACAAATTTCAAGCAACTTTTACAAGAAATCCGTTTTCTTTGTGTACAACACGACAATTAGAAAAAAAACACATGACATTTATTAGATTTACAATGCGATTATGGATTTGCCTGCATCCATTTAATAATCTGGCATCATTGTGACAGAACGTGCAGGTTAATCTTGATCACCATTGAACTATTATGCGACGATCATATCGCCTTACGTGCAGCAATAAAAACCACTTCCACACATCAATTTTAAGCTAATATTTTAGAAAGCCCTTTTAATACCATGCACTGAAAATGAAAATGTAACCATGGTGTGATTCGTTTCCTTAAATAGGATGCTAAAACTAATACTAGAAAAAAACTACTCCGTCCATATGATCTTGGAACAAAAACTGTAGAGTAATTAGAACACCCACAGAGCTGGAAAGCTGGAACAAGGGAAAAGACTGGCTCCACCTGAGCTAATTTATCAGGTTATTTAAAGCAGTCAGGGAAAAGGCTTCAATTAATGTTCCGTGTCTGTATTGTGACATTTCAAACTGCCATTAAACACAATGCTACGACAATCTGAGGTTTATTGGCATTAAAGATTAAAAATGCATCAATTTCTGAATTCTTTTAGACTGGGCTACTATCCTTAGTGACTTACTTAAAAGATGTTGAGCAGAGTTTGACAAAAAGTACTTAAGCAAAGGGAACATTTTGTTTTCCCCCCAAAATCACTTTTCTGCTTCTTTACGAAAAAAAAGTTGTACTACTTTCTAAATTTTCAAAAGAAAACCGTTTCAAAAACCTTTGGCAGGTTTTTATTTTGGTCTAGGCGCTTTTTTTGCTTTAAAGACACATTTGACTCATTTCTGTTGATTTTTTTTAAATGAAGTTATGGCTACAAAGCTTTACAACGCAACTTTGCTTGACTGGGTTTTTTAACTGACAGGTTCACCAACTTGCAAATGCAATACGCAAATGTTTACATTGTTAAAAATGCAACGGACCCAAGAGCGAGGGCGTCAGGGGCCAGGAGCGGACGTGGAGGAGTTACGGACCCAAGAAGACCTGGGTGGAGTGGCCCGAGGTGAGAAAGTCCGAGCAATCAGCGGCCAGGCTCTAAGAGCAGGAACCATCTGGGGTTGACGAAACTCCGAATTCTTAGCAGTTGGGTCACTGGGTGCAAGCAGGTGGTCTGGACCTGGTGTGCAAGGAAGGAGTGGAGGGATGTCAGGTGAAGGGCAGGAAGAAGCAGGTGGCTCCGGAGCTATGCTTACTCGGGAGCGTAGCGCAGGGCAGAGCGGTCCGACCTCGGAGCCCAGGCAGGATACTCAAAGTCGGGGCACTTATTCGGAAGTCTCACTGAGGACTGGGACGAATGGGTAGCAGACCCTTCGACTGTGGCAAAGGTGACCCCTCCCCTGCTGCCGAGACCAGGCCAGCACGCACCGTCATGATGGACTAGGGAGGCATGCCCAAGACCGGGCCCAAGGGAGTCGTCTGAAGTGGGGTCCCCACCTCTGCTCCACCCTCCGCACCCTGAATCCTCTGGACAGCATGGGCGCAGAGTCCAGACGCAGCAAGGAAACAGGAAGGTGGGAACAGGGGGACTCCCTGGGGAAGCTGGAAGGTGGCTCAGGAAGCCAAGAGAAGCTCACGTCAACACCAGATCGCCAAGAGTTTATATACCCCAGAGCACCTGGTAGTGTGAGACGTTTCATTAAAGACAGGTGCCCTGCGGATCCTGTCTCCTGGGCGAT